ACGCGCACTTTCTTGGCGAGACCGGTTCGCTGCGCTCGGCCTTCTTAGCATTGTTCTGTGCTGGCCACGCGCAGCATCGAGCGCAACCACATGTTGTTTAATGCGACCTCAAAAAAGTGCACCGTGCTTTTCGGTACGCACGCTACTTAAAGCCACAGCCGGCGCTAGGTTTATTTGACTTCCCAGACAAAAAGAGAGTTTACGCCCCTCCTCATATAATAAAAGAACACTAATGTTCAGAAACATTTTTTAAAGTAAAATATGATTTATAGTAAGTACCAAAAAGCCAAAAAAAAATATTTAAATGTTCCAAAATTGCGCCCTAGACGATCATCGAGTTTGCCTGTAAGTAGCACCGTCCCTACTTAAAGATATTGATGTTTATATTGATGGTAGAAGCTGCGATGTCTGTCAATTCCGATTTGGATTTAATTTTCCAAAGACGTCTCGCTGACCGGACGTTGAGGAAGAGAGTACTGCTGGGTGAAATAGAAAATTTCAGCATGGGGTTCCGTACACTCGTTATTACAGATAACGGTAATTGTTCTGTTGTCGTTCTGATGTAGACTAACAGAATGTTGTTTGAAAAGGCCATATCTTCATGAGCTGATCGCCTCGCACGTTCATGGGAAAAGCCACACCTCCGAAGAAGTGGCCTATTCGGACGAAACAGGTAGATAGATAATATGTTTATTTTAGATCGCTTCAAACTCTTGAGTTTTTAGCGATCTCATTTTCATTACATTAATGTTATCAGTTACATTTACAGGTTAAATCCCACGTCTGCTTATAATTACAATACAATTTCTAATTTAAACACAGTTACAATAGCACTTTATATTTTGCTGTAGAGATTAATTTCCTTCAGGTACATAATACATTCAGTACATAATTCCCCGCCTTTTCCCACTTCCGCAGCGAGTTCAGTTTGTACTTTAGTCTGATAAGTAACCAGAGCACATCACTCGCCTAGAATATATGAGAAACATTGGATATGGGGCATTTTCACGTGAAATAAAACTAAAAATATATTCTGAATCAAATAGTGAGCGTAACAATTTTTCGCAAAAGTTAGAGATGTGGCCTTATCAAAATAACTGATTCAATTGACATTTAATTTTCGTTCTCTGTTCTCCTGGATTTTGAAACAACATTCAGGGAAAAAGAACATGCAGACTAGTGATGCGTCATCCACAAGAAAACCAAACAGTATACCAAACATAAGTGTTCAAAATTAAAGCATCGATGTAAATAAATAATACATCGAAAAAACGTAGATTTGTTTGAAAACATTTACGTTATAAAGCTGGTTAGGCAACCTCTTACATTAAATTGGAGAGCAACAGAATATAATTTGACAGTGGCCTTGTTTATTAATTTATAATTAACATTTAACTACAAAGTCAAACAAATCCTATTGACAAAATTAAGCGTGATCAACCGATTTCATCTCGATTCTCGATCAAGCCCGATCTCAAAGAGTCAGTCCTCACTACGCCGAAGAAAGGTGCAGGGAAGGTAGGGCAGATGGCTCTTGTGTAGGCCGTCTCTCCATGTGCGAAATACAAGGAAAACGTATAAAAAATTAGGAGGGCAACTCTGGCGAGAAATAGTCTTCTCATTGAAAGTAGTGCAAACAGCGTTCCTTTGGTTCGAAACATAAAATGACAGTAGTGCCATAAGTTTTTATTTCATATTTTAACTTTTACAAAATTGGTGTAGGAATTACGTAATTGTAAGAATTTTTGAAAGAAAATATGGAAAACGTGAAAACATCGAACCCAAAACATTGATGTTTAAACATATCGGCTTTAATATATCGATGATAAAAACAACACTTAAAATAACGCGTGTATCTATACAAATATTGATGTTAAAAAACATCGACATCCCTAGTGCAGACGGCGGAGGTTGACTCTCCGGGAATCCGACTCTCGGAGGCTCGATGCGCGGCGGAATGTCAGTGCTCGTTTACGCGCCGTCTTGGGTACTAATTGCGGTATTTGTAGTTCTCTTTGCTTCGCCCTCCACCCGGATCGCGCGCGCGGTGGCATGTCTTTGCTTCGTCAGGGCAATGCTGCACCGCCTTCTCTGGTCTTCGCGGTGATAGCAACGCAGCCAGATGCACGGAGTTGGCCTTTTTAATAAGACTATTAAAAAAACTCGAGATTTGCAGTCTCTCATTTATTATAGATAGCCACAAAATGAAGTTACATAGTTAATCACCACATGATGCCCATTGATTGAAGATCACTTACGCAGAAGTGATTCAATTCTTGAATTTTTTTCTTAGTACACTGGAAAAATTGCACAGTTCATTAAATTATTTACAATGTACTAAGTAAAAGAGTGTTCAACAATTGAATCATTTCTGTATATGTGATCAACAATAGATGTACATCATGTGATGTTACTTGTTCCTTGATTTGTGATGTTACTCTCATTTTGTGGCTGTCTATAATAAATGGAAGCCTGCAAATCTCAAGTTAAAATTCAATTACAGCCTTTAATAAAATATTAACAAAACTATTGGCAAAACATGTCCTACCTATATATTTTTTAAGCTTTGAGAATAGCAGTACAAAAATAGGGGGTGGGGCGCTTCAACTCCTCTTTGAGAAGCCAATGTTTCATATTCAAAAATATAGATTTTATTTTTCTCTATACTAACGAAAGTTATTCAATATATCTACTCTTTACGTTATAAATATTAACTATAGTAAAAGAAATTCACATCATGTTCAGTATAAATAAAACTCTTAGTAAGTAAACATAAAGTCAATTGGACACTGGCTGTAGACAACCTCTCTCCAGAGAAAAATCTTAGGTGCACTTCTGTGAATACTATATACTCCAAATGCTACCTAACATGTACTAGCAAAATGTTTCAAAAACAAATTGTGTATAAAACAAAATCTGCCTTTTAATCAGGATGTTGAAAGTAATATCAAACTTACAACTGAAAAGAGTACTTAATCCGATAAAAATACAAAAGAGATCGGAAGACACTACCAAGAATTCGCATCATCTAACTTTCTAACCCTTCTCCGAAGACCAGATTCATACACTTGCTATTCAAAAACAATTCTGGAATTAATCGAGCGCGTGCAGTGGCGTTTTTGGGGTTCTATTAGCCACAAGCGCAAGCCACGAGCGCGCGTACATGTTGCTAAAACTCCGAATCGTTCGTCACAGAGAAGCAAGGAAATTGGGTCGAAGTTGCGCATTTCTGCCTGTGAACAGTATATGATGACAAGGATGCCTAGTCTTATATGACGTACCGTATTACAATTCAACAGCGAAAGGACGAGATATTAATTTTCTGTGAAAACGATACGAGTTGTAGAATTTCTTTATGTTATATTCTCAATATTCTGGATCCGTCATTCGCTGCGTCTGATATTTGCCTGAGAAATGAAAGCGTGGTAGTTTAATAACTCGATGAGGGTTCCTTTCCTTCATTAACTGCTCATCAATGAGTCCAGTATTCTTTGAATTGCTTCTGGGAAGGGCAACCCCAGGCTTTCTTTTCTCACCGATGCATGCAGTGAAATGAAGCAAAGAGTAGGGCGACCATATGGAGTAGGAATTGGTAGTGCATGACCTCTGTATCATATGTGCTGCCGAAATTTATTAGCTAAATACTTTTCCCTCCTGCATCTAAAGGTAGTTCCGTTTCATGTAATGATGGATACAAAGGAAATCATTCGAAGAGTATAAAAAAGTATTAAATGTGTGATCGAGATAAATTAAAACAAGATAAAACCGGTGTGCGCAAAATAGAGGCGCGATATCGAATCCAGCGTGTGGCAGATTTGATTTTATCGCTCGTTTTCATTACGGCAGGTACGGGAAATGACAAACTATTGTACTTCGGTCAAATTATTATTATTATTATTATCCTTTCCTCTTTTACCTATTGCTCGGGAGTTACAATCATGCCGCGACGAGTATTACTCAATACGTCACAAGGCAGGGGGAAAAGCCGTCCTAAATTCCCAGTGTGTGGCGACCAGGCTGTCTGTGATCTCTCGCATCCGACGCAGCCCTCTGTCTCTCTCTCTCCCCACACGGCAGAACCAAAGGGCCGGACTCCGGTAACCGTCGAAACGGGAGCCGGCGCGGCGGTGCGCGGCGACAGCGGCAGCGGGAGCGTGCACACGCCCCAAATGTAAATGCCGCAGGCCCGACCCGCGCTTGCTCCCGCGTTGTATGGCGGTGCGTGCGGAGCGAACGACGCCGCGCCGAGCCGCGCCGAGCCGCGCCGCGCCGCGCCCGGGCTCGACCGAGGGGGGAGGGAGCCGCGGCGTAGCCCGCAGGTGGAACGACGGTGGTGGCGACGGACGCTGAGAGAGGCGCCTATATCTCCCTCCCTCCCCCGCGCCTGCACGCCCGCCCGCGCGTTTGCTCGGTTGCCCGCTCGCTCGCTCGTTCGTACATCGGCCGGTTCGCTCCCTCCGTCGCGGCGGCGACGGCGGCGCGCGGCTGGGCGTTGCGCGGCGCGGCGCGGAGCCGCCGCTGGCCGACCGTCGAAGGAGAGGGGGTGAGGGGGAAGCGGGCGGTGGCGCGGCGGCCGGCGGCCCAGGCGCGCCCCCCTGGGCGAAGTGACGCACCCGGCGTTCGCTGGCTCGCTCGCTGCAAACTCGCTCCGCCGCCGCCGCCACCACCGCCACCTCCGCCGCTGCCACCGCCGCTGCCTGCCCGCCTGCCAGTTAGAGTCAGAGCGTCGCGCGGAGCGGTTGTGTTTCGGTGCGCCTCCGCACCGGCGGCGATTCTCATCTTTTTATTTATCGGCGATTGACTGCGTTTATTATTTTTTTCTGCGAACAGTGGACGTAAACTGTAGGCGTGACGTGCAGTGTGCAGTGATTAGGTGTTGTGTGTGTTGCCGTGCAGTGATACAAGTGCACGGAGACAATTTTTCTTCTGCCTGTTTTTTTTCTTTTATTTATTTTTTTTTTCGTCGGAAGTAACATCCGCGCGGTTTGTCGACTATCCCTCTGACGACCCAGCACCGCCGCACAGGAGCAGTGTTCGACGGTTTGCACGGTAGGTACTCGCAGGACGGTGCGATTTGGACGTGTTTTTTGTTTCTCTCGGAGTTTCGCGCATGTCATTGTGCGGCTCCGCGCCGGGTGACAACGGGGCCGGGACCAAGTCGGATTTTGCGATTTTGTGGTGACGTAACAAACGAAGGTTTCGGCGTGTGTATAGGGAGGGGGATAGAGCGCGGAGTTCGCCAGAGTTATGAGTCGCGGGCGGCTCTAGACGAAATGTCCACAGGAGACCGTGGTGGAGATGCACTTCCCAGAATCCCATTGTTCAGTTTTGCGACTTGCACTAGTGGGCGTAACAAAATGCAAATTTGTTTGTTGATTGTTTTGGTGATTAATGACGAGTAACACTCGTGGACTCGGCGAATATTAAGAAAAAGACAGCTGACAGTAGAACTAGGAAAACACTAGGTGCTGCCGATAGCAAAGTGTTCTGGGTAATTAATATAATTTAACGACGATTTGTTTGGTATAGTTATTTGTAAAATCATAATTTCTAAATTACAATTCTGACTACAAACTCGACAGATAGGGGAACTGCGACACTCGCAGTAGTAATTTCATGTGAACTTACTTTCTTCGAAATACTTGCAGAAAAGAAACAAACTATTAAGCCATTTAAGGGTTTTTAGCACCACGTAACCGTTCATAGGAGAGCTCTTTTGACATGTTATAGCAAACGATATGGTAGTGTTTGCAAACTGACACTAGCGGGTAGAATGTCGAAAATCAACAATAGCAACGCCTGTCCTGAAGTGGTTACCGGGTAACCGAGGTGAACACGCGCGTCCGGCGCGAGCCCCTTTTCGGTCACGCCGGCTGCCCGCCGCGCGCTACCCCCGCACGCGCACGCCCGTGCCACACAGTACTTGTTACCGGGTGCTCACCCACCGCGGGGCCGTCTCACCCTCCGGAGGTGAATCACCCTCGGCCGCCCTCCGCCCGCGCCTTGCCCCGCGGCCGAGCAAGGTCGCCACGGCGGCGCCGGTCGCGGGTACGGACCAAGAGGTGGTCGCTTGCGAAATTAGGTTTGAGGTAGAGAATGGATACGGCTGAAATGCCGTACCCAGTGGACCTAGTTGTTGAGGGCTATTCATTTACTTGACAGTAGTCTGAACGAGGAATATTTACTTGACAGTATTATGTTCTGCAGGAATAATTTCCCGCCTATTATTAGGAGGCAGGAAGGATATAGGAAAACAGATTAACACTAAAGTTCAGAACATCGTGTCATTTATTTACTTTTTTGCGGAAATGAGAATGAAACTGATTAAGGGCTGACCGAGTTTTGCAATTTTCCTTTGTGACTTAAAAATTTTGAAAACTTGGTATTCATTCAAAACATAGTGTTGTGGATGTACGCCGGTTAGAAAATAATAATTTGGTCTTCCGTGTTCATATTTTCGGTTTATGGTATTTGTGTACCTTTTTTGCAATTTCCAAATTTTGCGCGTCTGCCGCTTGAATTATAATGCGGGCGTGCATGAGTGGCCAGCACGCAGGAAGCGCGCGGAAACGCAGTACAATGAAATATTGTGAGCGCTACGAGCTGATTGTTTCTCTCGCTCCGACCCAGAACATGCCGAGCCGACATAACAGCTAATTGTGGTGTAGAAAATGTGTGTACTTTTTTAGTGCAGTGCTTTCAATATTATTGTTTCCTTTCAGGCGCCCCCGCACATGTTTCCTTGTGTAATTTATATTCCCTGTTTCTCTCTTTCTCATTCTCTCTCGTTCTCCCTCTTCCTCTCTGCTTGTGTTGTCATATTGAATGGAAAAAAATAAATGATATTGTCAGACTGAGTTTTTTGTTGTTGTTGTTGTTGTTCATGAGTTGACACACACCCAGTGGTTTGGAGCCCGGAATAAACTGATGGTCCGCATGCTCCTGCCCTAGTGTTTGTAGTTAACTCTTTAATTGTTACCGTAGTTTCTTGAAAAAATATTAATAGGTTCTTTCATTTTATGTCCAGATAATTGCATGGTACTTACTCGGTGCCATTTCATCCGAGATGATGAAAGTAAATGATAAACCTGGCTTGAGGGGATTGGAATATTTCACCTGCTTTTACCGTGATTTACGCTTTTTATTGCCAAAAGTATATCACTATGTATGATTGCTAATATATTTACACTTTGAATGAGACATTCTCGATCCTGCTGTTTATTAAAATGCTTTATGGCATTACGAAGCAGAAATTCAGAAATTCATTGGATGAAATGCACACGTTATCGAAAAACTATTAACACGATATCAAAAAATATTATAAAACGACGTGTGCTTTATTATTGTAACATGAGATGTGTTTTATGAAGCTGTGTTACCATGGATTTATTCAAATTAGGTTATTTCCGATCGGGCACATGCATTTTTGTGGAGATATATGGCGCTCACGCGACTTTTTCTCAAAAGAAAATTTCATACTTAAAAATAGTGTATTTTTATTGTGATGCAGTAGAGAATTTGTATTCTAATTGTGATTATTTAAAACAAACATTTCATTCATTTATTCATTCATTCATCATTCGTTCATTTAAAGGCTGCTCAAAGCTGGTAATAAGCGCATCTCCATCTCTTATAAATTACACGATATCAGAGTTATAATTCAGAGTATGATCTATGCTCAATCCTCCTATTGAATAGAATGTCGGCTGTGATATTGTCACAAGCTGTAATTGTATTTGTCAACGTGCGAATGAAGATTTATTTCCATTGAATACGTTTTATGTTACCAGATGAAATGTCATTGTTTTTGCACTCCTCGTTCTTTTCTTGGTATATTCAATTATTACTGTTGCATAATAGTGATATGGTATCAATGGTGAATGGCATGTCATAGGTGAATTTTACATCGTGTAACATGTATTTGTGGTGTTGATAGGTGACATAATATTAATTTTATTATTATTTTAGGTAATGTTGCTGCATGACGTCTTTAAAGGAACTGTAAATACATATCCCTATGACAGGGAATATACACCTCTTTGCATTTACACAATGAAAAGTAATTTGTTCCCGTAGTTATAAAATTGGAAAATTGTTATGATTTCTTGTAAAATTGTTTTGTTTGCGTTGAAAGAAACATTTTCTCGCAAGTTCTAAGAAATGTAGAGTGTATGTACTATTTCCTTACTCTCAGCCCTTTAATTTCTCATTTATGATGACATTGCTCTCGTGAATTTTTCCCCCGAAACGTGGTGGCAATTTTATAATAGAAGGTTAATGATTGAAAATTTTACAAAATGTAATGGACCGAACAAACCAAGAACATCATCAAATAGAGTAACATTAAAACTTTTTTCGATGTGTTTCATTGACGTTTATATGTTTTTGGACTTCGAGTAATCAAATGAAGTCCAGCTTCATCCCACGAGTGTTGCATAAAATATATTTGCACTATTGATCTGCGGAGGCGTTCATTAATATGCGGAGTGTTAATCGTGTTCATTAATGCAATAACGCAAACCAAATCGACACATCTGCAATTTTGTGACAGTTTGTTTATTTCTTGCAAGTAATCTGCTATGTAACAGAATTGTAACGAATGTAGTGCTTAATCTACACTGACTTACACTGACTGCATTAATCACTACCCGATAAAAAAGTATATAATAGTAACAAAAAGATACATGAGAACATTGATGGGTTTGCTCCACAGTAAATTGATGCTTAGGAAATATTTCATCCTGGGCTGGATCACAGTTCAAACTGGGCAGACATTGCTCGAATGGGTGGTATGATACGGCGTACTTCCTGTAACACCTGCGAGTGTTTTGCAATGTTCCAATAAACATGACCGATGGGCAAGACCCGCGAGTATGCCTGCATTGAAAAGTGAAATTACTTAACCTGACGTAACCCTTTTGGTTCGTACCTCTCTACATTGTTCAGGCCAGCTTATGGGTACAGAATAAATTTTCACGTAAGCAGCCCCTGCAATTTTTTAAATTATGATTTAAGGAATATAAATATTGTTCTACTTTCCATGACAATTAAAACTATTTTTTCATTGATATTTTTTAGTTAACTTGTTCTGCGTACGACTGTATAAACCATACAGGTGGACATTGCGGACCTCTGCATAGTACAGGAAAAAACGTCGGTGATGGATGATATTCAACCCGAATGTTCGCGTTTTGGCGAAGAGGACGACGAAATGGCGATACGTCTCCCTGGCCGCTCCTGTAGGCCGCTTCACATTGTGGTCGATTGCCTGTGGCTGCTAGATAACGCGTTAGATAATGAGTTGTTTACTCGAGCCTATCGCTGGCCATCCGATTCTCTCCCCCTCTTCGAGCAGTCGCCCGCTGCAGCTCAGCAACACTGGATTCGGAATTGTTTGCAATCATAGGCGTACGCACAGGCGATATGACCTCCTTCAAAATTTTGAGTCCCAAAGCCCTGCGTAATGAGACATTGTACTTCAGTATGTATATCTAATCCCTAAATTTTTGATGTTGATTGAAAAATGGGTTAACACGCATATATATATATATATATATATATATATATATATATATATATATATATATATATTTGGAAGCGTGTAGTATTGCAAAATAATGTACGAGAGACGTAAAAGTTTTCGGAACAAACACTGCCGAAAATAAAGGAATTGTTGGAAGGGAAGTAAATAACAAAAATGATATTGTACACAGAGGAAGAACTGTCAAAGGGTCCAAACAGAGAATGGAGTATTAAATGTAAAAAGAGAACGAGGGAAGTTGTTACCGTAGCACTTACTTGACTGAAACAAAATAAATAATAGTAATAATGAGAATTAGATCTATTCAAGATATACATTTTGTCATACTAATTAGCAAACCTCTAAATCCATATTCCCTCCTCCGTTTTCTGTTTACTTCATGATAAAATATAATTATGAAAAAAGAGTAGTAAATAAAAGCAAATAACTAATCGAGCATCTTAAGTAATTGAGTTCCCTGGTATTAATTTGTTCAACAAGAAAGGAAACTAAAAGTCTGCTTCCCGCC